CAAGGACATATTAATAGATTAAATGCATGGAATGACAATCTAGGATGGATGAATGAATGGTTATGTTCAGAGCAAACAGCATTCTTCATGAATTTCACTTTTATACCTGATTCTTCTTGTCTGTCAATTCTTCAAGAGTTTCAGATTGCTTCTCTAACTCTCGCTCTAATTTCTTATGTTTAAGCTTCCACTGCTTAATGGACTCCTGAGCTTTCGATTTCAGATCTTCTCTCCTCTTCTCTGCCTCCTCTCTCAAGGCCTCTGACTGCTGGAACTCGCTGAGGTACCGCTCAGCCTGCTTTGTGGCATCCTCCGCATGGTGAGTCAGCTCTGAGATCTGGAGGTCAGCACGCTTGTGCTCAGCCTCACACGTCTCAAAGTGATTCTGGATCTCCTTAAGTTGATCCAACATCTGCAGCTGCTGTTTTTCCCTGTTCTCCAATTCACGTGTTAAGTCCTAGGAATAAAGCATGTGAAATATTAGGAGTATATTCTTGTCAAAACTGAATTTATAACAGGTTGTAAGACAGTAATCTCTAAAGTCGTCCATACTGAATTTCATTAGCAATTAATAGAAGAAACATGAGCCTTTTCCTGTGTATTTTATGACATTAGTTGAAAATAACTTTCATAGAAGTATTTTCCATTTACATGTCTATTTCATTACCTGAAAAGGGAAAATATCTATACCTGTAATTGACTGTTACCAAAAGAGAAGTCATTGTTGACAAGAAAAACAAATTGTGCATTACTTTATGTGAGAATCTAGTCCTTTGTCCAAATGACAAGAAATGCCAGTGTTTAAAAATTTGTCAGATGATCAGAGAACTTTTACTAACAATTTCAGTTAACATTTCACTTTCTGGAGGTATGTAAAATGTTGTTACGTTAAAATAAAAAACAGTAACACAATAAAATGAGCCTTGAGGGCAGAAGAACAGTATGTTGTTGTTAACTGCCACCGAGTCAGTTCCGACTAATACAGACCCTAGATAGGGTTTCTGAAAAGCAGCTAGTGGGTTTGAAACACCAACCCTGTGATCAGCAGTCCAGTGCTTAGCTTACAGTGCCACACCAACATGCCATAGCAGTATGTTGGTGGTGGTGAGTGTCGTTGAGTTCGTTCCAACTCATAGAGACCCTGTAAAGTGTTTCAAAAGAGTGGCTGGTGAATTTGAACCACTGACCTTGTGGTTCAAACAGACTTTGCGGTCCAATGCTCTATCCCACAGCACCACACCAGGACTCCATCCACAGAAGTATAAATAATATTATATTTAGAACCCATCCACAGTTATCAAGTCAATTTTGATTCAAAGTGACCGTACAGTGCAGAGGAGAACTGTTTCATAGGATTTCCAGACTGCAAATCTTTATATACTAGAGCAGTCAGTCTCATCTTTCTCTCTTGGAGCAGCTGGTGGGTTTGAACCATGAACTTGGCAATGAACCATGCCTGGCAAGGCTTAACCTGTTATGCCACCACAACCTCGTCTATACTTGGAAGTCCATTTAAAAAGTTCCCAATCAAGTGTTTATATAAGGTAGCTTCAAAAAGTTCATGAAAAAATGGAATTTAAAGATAATGGAATTTTTCTAAGAACTTTCTGAAGCCACCTCATAGATTAAGCTACTTCCAGCTTACATGAATTGTAGTAGTATAGATTTTTAAATAAGTTCAATTTGAATTTATAGTATTTCTGTAACCAAGGAAAAACCCGAACTCTTAAATACAAGTAAAATATTTAGAAATTACACTAAATCAATTGTACTTGAACATTATACTAAATCATTTTTTTTTACATCATAGATGTCTATTTTTAAGTTAACAAATGAGAGGACACTCCTTTTAGAGAACATTTTATACAGATAATATAATAAGTATTACATTGAGCCACTCCTGCCAAGCATTGGAAGGGAGAAATTAAGGGCTTTCAATGTGTCCCTTAAACTGTCCATCTGAGCCTTAGTTTCCAACTACCTGAAGTAAGAAAACTGAAATGAAAAGGATACATGTCCAAGTTAGAATAGACTGTGGTGAACAATGCTGTGAGCTGCGGGGGAAATCCTCTCCATTGTACTATGACACTGACAAATGAGGAGACAGAAAATATTGCCAAGCTACCCTTGTCCTGCAAGCAGATTTTTCAGTTCCAGATTCTATTAGCCCCAATCTGTGGCTCAAGTAAAGCTACATTTACTTCCTTCCCCCACCTGCCCTCCCACCCACCCCATGATTACAGTCATGGCTTGATATTGTGGCAAAAAAAAAATGTTTTTAAATAATAATAGTGCTTCAAAAACAAGCTTCAATTCTGGAGCAACAAGTTTGTATTTGTTCAGTTTGCTAAATTCAAGGCATCCTGGAAGAGCTGAGTCACTCCTTTATCCACCCAAACAAAATAGTAAATTGAGAACTGTGCACTTGTTTGTGTGGAAATTTCTCAAATGAGATCAGAAAACCCTGGTGATTGTGGTTTAACCTTTTGCTCTTATCCTAAAAATTTTACCAGTATACTAGAAATCAACTTTATTAACAACCAGCATTCAAATGAGAGGAAGAATAAATCTTTTTTGTTGTTGTTTCCCTTACAAACACTTGGGGAGAGTAGTTATACCTACTATGTGTCAGTTGCATGGTTTATAGAAAGATTTTTAAGACATGCCTTCAACATCAAAGAAGCTAACAACTTAACTGAGGAGTTAGTTACAGCAACCCCTATGTTACAAGTGCTAACAGTTGATGAAGAATGAGCTGAAGGAGTCTAATTTCTACAGCATGACCTCTCTTTGGAAGTGATGTATGAGCTGAGATCTAAAATAAGGAGCTAGCAAATGATAGTCATAACTATACTTACTACTGAAATTTACTGACCACATGAGTTCTGCTGGGGATTGGGCAAATATAAATTACCTCATTCATTCCCACCACAAACTTAAGGTAAAGCACTACTACTATTTTCATTTTAAAGATGGCTAACCAACACTTGGGACTCCTGGTATGGCACTGTGGATCAGCACTGAACTGCGAACCACAAAGTTGGCAGTTCAAACCCATCAGCAGCTCTTTGAAAATGCTATACAGGGTCGCTATGAGTTGGAACCGACTCAAGGCACTTAACAACAAGCAACATTTCAATGCTGGTGTGATACCATTGGATAAGCACTGAACTGCTAACCACAAGGTCATTGGTTCAAACCTACCAGCTGCTCCTTGGGAACCCTAAGCAGAGTCACTATGAGTCAGAACTGACTTGTCAGCACTTAACAACAACAACCAACACTTAGTGTAGTAAAGTTACCTGCCCATGAATACATGCTTAGTAAATGATGGCACAGGCATTCGGAGCCAGATAGTCTGACTCCAGAATCCATGCTTTCAACCCTTTGCTAAACTCCAAATTCTCACAGGATTTTAATGCTTAGGCCTGGGTAATCACATACTCTCACTGTCCTATCTTGGTGTTTTTATTAGCATTGTCATTCTTGGAATAAGAACTTCCTTCTGGCTTTAACTACCAATCTGTCCACTTCTTGCTCACAGCTCAAAATCCTTTTACAACTCTACAACCACGGAACTTGAAAAGCAAATCCACCAAATGTCCTACACCAGGTTGAGTCCTCTATGGAAAATCACACAGGCGCATTACTTGATGTGACTGTACATTGAGCGCTAGCTTCTCAGTGCGCAGAAATCCTTCTATAAGTCTCTACGTAGTCACAGTCATCCCAAGATGTCCCATCTATGACCCTAACATTGTTTCTCCTTCACTCTGAGTATTTTTATTTCTCAGAGCTCCTCTTTGAGAAATAAAATTGAGGCTATGAGGTACAACATCCCAAAACTTTCCTACCCTTAGTTGTTCAGAAACTTTACAATGCCCAGCCTTATATTGTCCTCTCCAACCTCTGAGGAAAAGGGATAGTTCTTCCTTAGACAAAGAAGCCTATTTTTGTTATTTCCTTCCATATTCATCAAACCATCTCTTCCTTGTCTTCATCATCTCTTTCCCTAGTGGATTATTCTGTTCTACTTTTCCCAACTTAAAAAATAACAATAATAATTTATAGAACAAACAAAGCAAAGCCTTACTCAATCCTACACTATCTTCTAGTGTCATCAGCATCTGGTATTCTTCCTTTTAAGTCATTTTCCTGAAAAATGTAGTTCTCACAGTCCTATTTTCAATTCACTTCTCACTTCACTGGGTCTGGTTTCTATTCCAAATATACAATTGAAACAGTGCACCCCATGACCCCACCACAGTTTCCGGCAGTCAGATACAGTGAACTCTTTCCAATGTTTTCCTCCTCTAGTCTCTTAGTAGCATGTGGCACTGTTAATTACCTCTTTTTATTGCTAAGTCTGTCTTCTTTCACTCTGAAAATACCACTCATCTCTAGTCTTTTTTTTTGCTGTTCCTTCTGGAATCTCATCTACCATCTTGCTCTGAAATACAGAAAACTCTCCAGGATGGATTCCAATATTAGGCATCCTCCCATTATATAATAATATATATAAAATTATGTGATATAGTCACGGTGTGGTGCTGTAGAAAATCACTGGGCTTCTAACCACAGGTTAATGGTTCACACCAACCACCGGTCCTTGAAAACCCTATACAGGGTGCACTATGAATCAGAACCAACTTGACAGCACTTAATAACCACAATATATAATACTAGGCTCTGGTAGCGTAGTGGTTATGAATCGGGCTGCCAACGCAAGGTCAGCAGTTCGAAACTACCAGCTGTTCCATGAGCAAAAGATGAGGCTTTCTGCTCCCATAAAGATTTACAGCCTTGGAAACCCTGTACAGGGTCGCTATGAGTCAGAACTGACTCCACGGCACATACCAACAACATAATACTATTCGTAGTAGATAAGTGTGTATGTAGGTAAACAGAGATAAAAGTGAGTTCTAACTCCTGAGCCCATGGGCACTGGTCTATATCTTGGGGACTAGGGCTGAGATTGAATCAAACAGCTGTTCTGAAGTACAGGGAGGTGTGTGTGAACTCCCAAACTTGCAGCTAGTACTCATTTGACCTAGCTTGGATGGCTAGTGGACCAGATCTTGAACCAAGGAAGATAAAGTTGTTTGATAATGAGAAACAAGTACAAACTGCTACAATTTGATGAACTAGACTTTAGCCTATGAATGCAGCGACTCAAAATCCCAACCAGAATGGAACAGTTCTTCCTTTCAAGGAACAACCTTTTTCCTCAGTGTACAAAGTTGATAGGGACAAGAAATTTAGACATTGGCTATCAAAAATGGGAGAAGAGGTGACTACAAAGGCATGAAGTAGCTGGCTTATTATCCTTTCACAAGTGTGCTTAGTTACAGAATGGGGGAGTGGGGTGGAGAGAGAGACATAGAGAACAGAATCGATAAGCAAACAAGATCCTTCAATATGCTGTCTACAAGAGATATATCAAAAAGATGGAGACAG